TCTTACACCATGTCTACCTGCCACCAGATTCCAATCCTTTACAGGGTTCCTATTTGTACTTATAAGCATTTTTCTCCACCATTCCATCATTTATTCCTTCAAGCTTTATATATATGCCATGATGCAGAGCAATTGCCAGGGTCTAAACAAAAATCAACCTTGATAGAAATGTTAAGTTACATAATTCTAAAGGAATTTCTTTTTTTACAGGACACAGAATGTTGATCATGTTTTAAAAAGATGAATAGCAGCCAGCTATATGCCAAGGATCTTTGCAGGAAAACTTGCAATTTATAGAGCTGGTTTTTCCTAACAAGCTTCCCGAGAGGAAAAAAGCAGAGAAAGAGAGAGAGAGAGAGAGAGAGAACAATACATTTCTAAGCTCACACAAGCAGAAAGCAGAATAGTAAGAGAAGATGCCTTCTTTCTGGTTAAATATGCTATGGGGGAAGGAAACCAGACAGAAATTCAAGGCAATGAGAAGGCCGTTTCTGAAACTGGACCTACCCTGGATGCAGAATGTAAAGAGAATAAGAAAGCAGTAGCAGCTCAAATTTTGAATCTCATTTGCTAAGTAAGCATCCAAAAAGTTTCCTCAGATATGAAATTAACTATTGTCCTTCAAGCAACATCCTTTTAACATTCCTGCTGCTGCCCAAAGCCACCTCTCAGACTTACACCAGTGGCGCTCATACTGGCCACAGGCCCTCTGGCCACAGCCATTGCTCATACTCAGATCTGCTCTGGTGGAATATAGGCTACTTGTTTATTTGTCTGGGAGATGAAACTTATAACCGTACTTCAGTGGAATGTTGCCCTGACACAGATTTGGGTAAAGGAAGCAAACCCGTCAGCAGTCAGAGGAACAGCTGCCGTGGGCAGGGGGTGCTAGGCGAACACCCATCAGTGCAGACTGCAAGGGACGCCACCCAGTGAAGTGCTTGTTGGGGGTTCGTTTCCCCCTCCTTATTTCTGTTACTTAGCTTGTAGGTCTTTACTCATAAGTGTAGTGGAGGACGCCACCCTGAATGAAACGAATTGCCTCCCAGCCTGCGCCAACATAAGCAGATGGTGAGAAGTGGCCATACAGAAATTGGAAGCTCCAGGTTAAGCTAGGAGGTGTGAGCATTTTGTATGGAGAAGTTCATCCCGTCCTCCAAACTGCTAGCGTACTTTACTACGCTTTAAATGGCCTATCTAAAGTGTACATAAGTATATAGTCAGCCTATATACATATCTCTGGAATATACATGGCTTCCATGGTTTTAATTATTGTCTCGTTGGCAAATAATAATAATAGATGAACATTTTTATTTCTAGTTTATGTTGGAAAGCATGATTTTCCTCTGGTGTCTTATTATGCTTATGTTAAGGTATATTTAAGTTAAAGGACATTGTCTAACTGCAATCAGTGATAGCAAAGCAACAGGTCTGCTGCACCACACACGGTCAGCTTGCCACCCCCATCCCCAGCTGTGCTGTATGCAATTTATGCAGCCATATGCTGCAGCCTTGGTGGCATTCCATCGCTGTGTTGAGTGACAAAGGCAGTATTTGTCATTGACAGTGTAGCAGTGCCTACTGTGAGCTCTGGAGTGTGACTTCCTGGATTAACTACAAGTAAATTATTTAACTTTCCTGTACCTCATTTTCCTCCTCTGGGAAATGAAGATAATAGAGTGCCTACTTCATAGGGCTGCTGTGATAATTAAGTGGGATAATACATATAAGATACCTGGGACAGGGCTGGCCACGCAGACATACCTGTTTTTTAAATATTTGCTCGAATATATTGTTGGTCAAGCATCTGAAATCCAAAAATCCAAAATTAAAAATGCTGTAGAATCCAAAGCTTTGTGAGCACCAACATGAAACTCAAGAGAAATACTCATTGGAGGATTTTGGATTTTGGAGTTTCAGATTTGGGACACCCAACCAGGAAGTAGAGTAAATCGCAAATGTTCTAAAACCTGAAAAAATCAGAAATTCAAAACACTTCTGAGTCCCAGGCATTTTGGACAAGGGATACTCAACCTGTAATGAGTGCAAATTTTACTATACTTCCTCTTTAATAAACAAGCCAATATTCTTGTAAAACTTTCAATGCCTTCAAGTCAGCAAAGAGTTTATAAAAGATTGCTTACAGAAGGCAGTAAGCAAGACATGGTACCGTTATCAACATTTTATGCATAATAGATTTATTGCCTGTCTCCCAGCACATGAAGGAATAGACTTTTTGAATTGTGTTCACTACTGGGTCCCTATTCCCTGGAACTGCACCTGTCATTTAGCAGATGCTGAATAAATGTTTGTTGCAGGGAAAAGAATACATGGATGTGAGCTCTTTTACCAACCTTTGTTGATAACTGAGAAGTTATTGTCTGCATTGGCTCACCTCTATTTCAACATTAAAATTATTTACATCATATCTACAAGTCTTGGTGGCAGAGAGAAAAGGTTGTGAGTAGCTATGGCCTTGAACTTTGCATCATTCCTAGACCAGCATGTTTGGCTTTGTAGGGGCAGAAATGTGTGATACTTTCCTCGCCCATCGTAAGTCACTCCTATAACAAAAGACAGGTTAACAAGAGAAAATGAATGTAATCAAAGTTTTATGTAACATGGGACTCTTCAGAAATGAAGATCCAAAGACCCAGGGAAAACATTTTTTATTCTTAGGTTTGACAAAGAATGGACAGCAGTATAGACATGTGATGGACTGAAGGGTGATAGACTAAGCAGGGAGCCCAGCAAGGCCTGACTGTTCAGCTTCTTCTCAACTTCTCTGTGTAGCATTCCTTCCTCCTGGGTATGGGGCCAAGCCCCTCCGGAATGAGGGTCTTCAAGGGAGGTAGGGAAAGGCAGAGAGTGACCATTCTGGGTTTCACAGCTTCCCTTGGAAGAGAGGGGTTCTAGTTTCTGTGACACATCTTGGGAAAGAGGAATTCTGGTTGCCATGACTCACTTCAGGGGAGAAAGAAAGGTGGGAGACAGGAGGATGGAAGAAGGTCAAAGAGACATTGCTTCTGAGACCCTTCCAATGTCCTTCAGCCCATAGTACTCAGCACACCAAGATGCCGTGCTTCAGGGTACCACGTTTTGAGTCCTGACAGCCTGTACAAAGCTGCTGGCTTGTGAACGTGATGTTAGGGCCACTGACCAACCCTGACGGTATGCATTCCCAGAGGGCAGCTTGCTGGTTAGCTTCTTAAACATCAAATGTTTAAGCTGGAGGAGACTTCCTGTATTAAAACGAAGCAATATGATGAAGTATGGTAGTATTATCCTTTTAGTATATTAATATTTTCTTTTAGCAGCTAAATCTCTCTTCAAAAGCAAATCTTAAAGACTGGTGATCCAATGATTGACAGTGGTCCCTGCTGTGATGTTCCTGGCAGCCGAGTCTCTTGGCGGTTAGCAAGAAAGCTACTGAGGGGCAGGAAGAGCATGTGCTTCGATTCTCACAGATCTCAGTTGAAGCCCTAGCTTAGTTGCCTATTTGTTGTGCTCTGTGGACAGGCTATTTAACTTCCATGAACCTCAGTTTCTTCATCTGCGAAAAGGGATAAAACTGTTACGCTTGCAAGCTTGAGCAGCAGCATATCTCGTTTTCAGCACATACATGTAATAAGCCCATTCATAAAGCAAGCGTGTATTTCTCTAGATTCAGAAATGCTAGGTAGATAATTCTGTAGGTTACCAAGTGGCCTTGTTGCTCACTACGGAAAGAGAAAAAGTCTTCCCTCATGTCAAGAAAGGATTAGCAGCCAGGTTCTCCCCCAAATGTCCCTGTCTTCGGTGACATACAGAGAACTTGACGTGGACTTTTCAACAACAGTTTCCTGAGTCATTGCCATTGTTGTTCAGCAGCCTCTAACTGCGAGGAGGTGGAAGAAGGACAAAGGAGCCACAGGACAGATGCTGCCTGTGGACGAAACAGCAAAGCAGGCTTTAGCAGTCTTCATTAGCCGCTGCTCAGATACTTCCTGATCAGCACAGTGGCTCTGCTCTGCATGGGGCCGGCACCAATGAAGCGTTATTCCCAGTACAAAAATAGTCATTTTACTTACAAATTATCACACTTTTCCCGTGAAAATATCTTGTTTCCCAAGCAGGAACTTCCTATGTATGTATTTATTTGACTAACATTTATCGAATGCATCTGTGTTTTGGGGACATGCAGCTGATTCTGATGCACACTTGAATTTGAGAACCATTGTTACAGTCAACGGATGGTATCAAGGGAGGGAAAAAGCATATTGACAAAACTGTTATATTTTACATAATACAGAGGTATCTGGATATAGATTTGCTACCTCTACTACAATTTGTTTCCACAAGGAATTAAAGCGGTTTATGAGATTATATGTGTGTGTGTGTGTGTGTGTGTGTGTGTGTATTTATATATATATATGTGTGTGTGTGTATGTATATATGCACCATATATATATGTATATATACATATATATATACATATATATAGAGAGAGAGAGAGAAAGAGAGAGAGAGTAAAGGAATAAACATCCAAGGGAAATACAATGATGGTAGAATAAAAATGGAAAAGCAACAAAGCCATCATGATTTTGCCATAGCTTTTCCTGATAACCTTCCTGGTATTCAAGCTGGTGAAGCGTGCACTGCTCTATGTGGAAACACACTCACCTTACAAGAGTAACTCACCCGGATGATTAAAGGCAGTTGTTAAGTACACAGTTTTGTTAATACTGAGACTTGAGAGGAATCTACCACGTGGCACTGCATTCAGAAGTCACCGTTTGCTGAGACAGGCAACATCTCGACAGTAAAAAGCATAGCAAGTATAAATGCCTACTTCATATAGTTCCCTTACATAGGCTAGTGGCTTAACATCTAAAAGCAGTTGAAAGGGCCAGACAAGGCAGTCAGGTTTGGAGCTCTCAGACAATCTGGCCAACATCTGAATAGTATCATCAAAGATCGTATCAGAGGTAGAAATGGAAGGCATTGAAAAAGTAAGAGGAGTACTCACTTCGACAACACATATGCTAAAATGGGAATGATACGGAGATTAGCACAGTCCCTGCACAAGGATGACATGCAAATGCGTGAAGCATTCCATATTTTTAATCCTAAAATTTATATAAAACCAATAAAAAGCCTAAACTGCCAAAGCAATACTAAGCAAAAAGAACAAAGCTAGAGGCATCACATTACCTGACTTCAAATTATACTTCAAGGCTATAGTAACCAAAACGGCAAGATACTAGCATAAAAATAGATACATAGATCCATGGAACAAAAAACAAAACCCAGAAATGAGCAATATTTGACAAAGTAAACAAAAACATACAGTGAGGAAAGAATACCTTATTCAATAAATGGTACTAAGAAAATTGGATAGCCATGTGCACAATGAAAACTAGACCCCTATTTCTCACCATAGACAAAAATTAAAGGCTTATATGTAAGACCTGAAAATATAAAAATTCTAAAAGAAAACCTAAGAAAAATTATTCTGGATATTGGCCTAGGCAAAGACTTCATGACTAAGATCTCAAAGATATAAATGCAACAAAAACAAAAAATAAACAAATGGGACTTTAATTCAACATTCAACTTTAAAACTTAGCAAAAGAATACTCACACAACCTACCGAATGGGAGGAAATATTTTCAAATTATGCAACTGACAAAAGACTAATATCCAGAATATACAAGGAACTCAAGCAACTCAACAATTTCAAAAACTAAATTACCCATTGAAGAGTGAGCAAAGGACATGAACATTTTCAGAAGAAGACATACAAGTGGCCCATAAGTATATGAAAGAATGTGCAACATCACTAATCATCAGAAAAAATGAAAATTAAAACCACAGTGAGATACCATCTTATACCAGTCAAAGTGGCTATTATTAAAATATCAGAAAATAATAAATATTGTCAAGGATATGAAGAAATAAGAAAATGTCTATACGCTTTTAGTGGAAATGTAAATTAGTACAACCTCTATGAAAAACTGTATGGAGATTTCTCAGAGAACTAAAAGTAGAATTACCATTTGATCCAGCAATCCCACTACTGGGATCTTGGCTCATTGCAGCCTCTGCCTCCTGGGTTCAAGCAATTCTCCTGCCTCAGTCTCCCTAGTAGCTGGGACTACAGGCATGCACCACCCTGCCAGGTTAATTTTTTTGTATTTTTAGTAGAGACAGCATTTCACCATGGTGGCCAAGATGGTCTTGATCTCCTGACCTCATGATCCGCCTACCCTGACCTCCAAAAGTGCTGGAATTACAATTATTATTATTATTTGAGATGGAGTTTGACTCTTGTCACCCAGGCTGGAGTACAATGACAATCTTGGCTAACTGCAACCTCCACCTCCCAGATTCAAGCAATTCTCCTACCTCAGCCTCCTGAGTAGCTGGAATTACAAGCGCCCACCACTATGCCCAGCTAATTGTTGTAGTTTTTAGTAGAGATGGAGTTTCACCATGTTGGCCAGGCTGGTCTCGAACCCCTTGTCTCAAGTGATCCACCTGCCTCAGCCTCCCAAAGTGCTGGAATTATAGGCATGAGCCACCGTGCCCAGCCAATGATTGAGTTTTTTAATGTGATATATATACACCATGAAACACTGCTTAGCCATAAAAATAAATGAAGCCATGTCTTTTGCAGCAACATAGATGTAACTGGAGGCCATTATCTTAAGTGAAATAACTCAGAAACAGAAAGCCAAATGCCACGTTCCCCCTTATGAGATAAATAATGTGTACATATGGACATAGAGAATGGAATAATAGACATTGGAGACTCTGAAGCCTGGGAGGGTGGTAAGGGAGGAGAAATTACTTAATGGGTACAATGTACACTTTTTGGGGGATGGCTACACTAAAAGCCCAGCTTTTGCCTCTACACAGTAAAAATAAACATATATATAAAGCCAGAGGAGAAATGAAGTGGTTAGATTTAAACAAAATATGGAACAGGCATTGCATACTGTCCTAAAAACCTTGTGTTTGAACAATGTGCTGCTCTCAGCCATCTACACCTCCTATACCGAGATGTTTTGTCACTTCTTAAGTCTTGCAGCTTCTAGAGTTCGTTTGCAAAAGCCTTTTACTTGGTGCATTACGTATGCACTATGTACCGTACAATCGAGCACTTGATTAGATTCTGACTTGTATTGTTTGCTGATTGTTCACATTTATGTGATTTATTTTCTTAACTAGATCGTAAATTAGTTGAGGCCTATCTTTTCCATGATTGCTTTAGTCAGGGAATATTTTAAGAAGGAGGCTATATTTGTACCTACTCTTCAAGAAGGAATAAGAATTTGTGCAGAGAATGGAAGTGAGTATTTTAGAGAGCGTGAAACACAGAGTCATTGGGGAATGTGGTGTGTGGGGAAGAATACCAGAAGCCCAGTGTCACTGGAGCTGAGCTGTGTGGAGTATGGGGTGGGGATAAGAAAGACAGGGCTGTCTGGCAATGGATGCCAGGAAGCCTCCCACCTTCAGTCACATACAAAGGCTTAGATTATATTGAGAAAGTGTAGAGGGTCTGAGAAGAATTTAAAGCTAAAGAATGATATAATCAGGTAAAAAGGTCATATTACAATTCATACTGTTAGCAGTATGAAATAGACTCTGTGTGTGTGTGTGTGTGTGTGTGTGTGTGTTAGAGGTGATAAGATCAGTGATTATGGCCTAGTGATTAAGAACATGCGTGTTCAAAAATTTAGTAACTGGAGATGGATATGGTGGCTCATGCAGATAATCCCAGCACTTTGGGAGGCTGAGGTAGGAGTATTGCTTGAGGCCAGGAGCTCGAGACCAGCCTGGGCAATATAATAGTGAGACCTCCGTCTCTATAAAAAATGAAAAAAAAAAATGGCTAGGCGTGGTGGCACATTCCTGTAGTCCTTGCTGTGCAGGAGGATTGCGTAAGCCCACGAGTTCCAAGTTACAGTCAGCTATGATCCTGGGCATCAGAGCGCGATCTTGTCTCTAAAATAAAAATTTTTAATTACCAAATATATTATCTCAGACAAGTTATTTCCTCTTGAAAAGTCTGTTTTCTTATCCAGAGACTAGTCCCTATCATATTGGGTTGTTTGAGGATGAAACAAGATCATTTAAAGTGGACAGCATGTGCCTGGTATATAGTTATGAGTCCTAGCGGCAGGGGCCGTTCCATTTTTATTCACTTGATATTTGTTGGTTACTACTTTGTTTTTTCAACCAAGTCTAGATGAGAAATAATGAGTAGACTCAAGGGCTTAGGACTGCTGGAATAGACACAGGAGACCCATGATACTACTCCTAATCAGCTTTGGGATTAGCACTGAGAATGGACACTGGAAATTTGCCCTGGCACCAGTCCCATCGCCAGCGACACTCAGCAGCCTCTGTGTGAAAAGACAGAGGGATAGTGGCATCAGTCCTTGATGTGTATTGTTCATAGTGAGTGAGGTAGAAGAATTAGAGCAAGAAACCTGAGGGGACTAATGAAAGAATGTTTGACCTGCTGTCTCTTCTAGGATGGCAAGGGAGGAAGTGAAGACCACCAAAGATGGATAGAATGGGAGAAGAGGGCAGAGCTGAGGAACAAATGAATGGAATAAAATATGAGACCCATCAGAGGGCAGGGAAAGTCGGAACAAGGGAACAAGAAAACTTGTGAGACAGGAAGTTGAAGGTGTAATCTTAAGAATCTTCAATCTTGCTACAGTGCACAGTGCACTGCTCATAATACTAGCTATTCAATAGATAGTTGCTGAATTAAAGTCATATGTATTGATTTGATTTGACTTCGTGCCTGCACAGTCAAAGACTATTTGGATCAACACAGTCAACACCCTTATCTGCCAAAACTTAAATCCAGAAATAAGCTGGCACAGTAGTGCACATCTGTAATTCTAGCACTTCGGGAGGCTGAGATGAGAGGATTGCTTGTGCCCAGGCGTTCAAGTCTGTAGTGACCCATGATTATGCCAGTGCACTCCAACCTGAGTGACAAGAGTGAGACCCTGTTCCTAAAAAAGATAAAATTGAATACAAACAAAAATACTTTAATTCAGAAACAATGAATGTCCTCATACTTCCTTCCCTATCACAGCAAAAAAATGTTTCAGAAGGTTGACTGGATGTGGATTTGTTTGTTTAAAATTTAAGACTGGGTGTAGAATTCTGAAGGACAATAAAATCCAGTTCCAAGATGAAAAAAAGTTAAAAGGGTCAGATTGCTAGGTGTGTGAAGAGTCAGAATAAGGCACTTTAAAAATGATGGGAAGATGGCAGCAGAAGGAAAGGTCAGAGTTTGAGGACTTACAAATCTAATTCCCATTAACAGCAACTATTGCAGAGGCTGGGGCAGGCCAAACCCAATGGAGGAAAAAGACTCCGTAAGGTGTTAAAAATAGCTGATTACAGAGACTGTCCTTCTCCTCACCTCCTCTATGGTATCTGACCACCCCTCTCTCACACAGGCGGGCACTGATAACAGTTTTCAAAGAGTGAATGTATAATCTAAATTAGCGTGCTTAGTGTATCCAAGCCAATAAATACTTAAATGGGTATAAAGCTGTTTGAGGATAACTTAGCCAGCTGTGATGGGGCTGCTTCAGAGACTGACTCGCATTGGCCCCACTCAGATGTAGACCACACAGGCGGAGGTTCTGTATGCTTACAATTACCCGCTGGGCAGGAGGGTTCGCTTTACTTGCATGAGTAAGCTTTAGTGGGCCTGCCCTGGTTCTGCTGCAGATGACCACAGAGTCTGCACCCTCTGGGCAGGGAATCGGCCTGATTAGACCTACAAGGCCATTAGGCAGCTTCTTTCTGTTTCTTTCCCTGGGCTCCATGGACTCTGGACTGGCTCCTCTCCTCCCTCCACACCCACTCCCTCTTCAAGGCCCTTGGCTAATGCTGCTCCACAGTTCAAAAGCATCAATTCTGGCTTCTAATGGGGCCGACGTGGGCCCTTCCTTTACTTGACCTTGCAGATAAGTTCACCAGAGTACAGCGATTCTAGGAACATCCTCATTTAAATTTCCCAGAATGAGCATCTCATTAGCTCAGCGAAGGCTGTATATGGATGGCTCTGAGTCCAGTCTTCCATCA